TCTCTCTTCACTCACTCCTCACACTCTCTCTTCACTCACTCCTCACATGCTCTCCTCACTCCTCACATTCTCTCTTCACTCCTCACATGTTCTTCTCCTGCTCTCTTACTCTTTCTCTCACCACAGTCACCTCACATACTTCTCCGCCTTTCTCTGCCCCAGTCTTTTATTGATACTCCAAAAGCAGGTAGAAAAAAAGACATTGTATAGTCATTGGCAAATCAAATTCAAAAGAATAACCAAGACCCACAAAGAATTAAAAATTACAATTGTTCCCCAAAGTTTCAAGCTTTCCTATTCCCAGGCCTGTAGCCAAAATAATAATAATTGCAAACTTATCATTATTTAAACTTTAGCTTTTAACTTACTATACTTCAGAGCTCCGAGGTCAGCTCCTTCCATTTTCCTGTGAAGCTCTAATGATAAATGACATGGGCAAAGCTGCCAGGCAGTGGCCAGAAAGGATCAAGTTAACCCTTAACTCAGTAGTTCCACTAGCTTTCTACTTCTGTGCATTGCACACAGTGACTCTCCTAAGAGTCCCAGTGTTTTGACTTAGTTTTACTAGTATAAGATTTTATGTATTCTATACTTCCTTATCTAGGGACCACTCTTAAATGTTATGCAGAACTTATTTCATAACTTCGATAGATTTTTCCTTTCTTGGGGTCCCAGTGTTGGCTCTATTTCATTTTCTAATAATCTCTTCAAACTTTCTTTGTAAGTCAAGCATTAATCTGGAACTACCATCGTGCAGTTATTGCATTGTTTCCAAGATGAGAACACACAGCATGCGCCTGGGCCATTAGGACGGTGCTCTGCTGTGCCCCGAGCCTCAATCTTTAATTGTTTAAGAATCATTACATCAAGGAACATCTAGTTTGACAGAATTCACCAGAGCAGAAGGAGAAAGAAGTAAGAAAGTCAGATATAATAGAATAATTATGCACACCAAGGCCAACTGAAAAGCAGTCACACACAAATGAAATCTATACAGCTGTTGTCCAGGGCTAAGGTTAGGAGAAATGGGACAACTGTTTTTTACATAGAGCTGCCATGGGCTTCTGAGATGTCTCCATCCCGGCCTACTGCAGGCAGTCCTTGTCATTGTGTGCTGTCCCCAGCAGTCCACGTGGTACATTTCCCTTCCATGAAAAATGGCAAATTTAATCTTACTATATGTGAGAAAATTGGACAAATATTAGAATATACTAGAGGTTAGAAATTGTTTACAGTTTGTAATATATTCATCATTGCATAGTTTTTTGATGTGAGGGATTGTGAACTTCTTTTTAAACTCCATATTTAAAACATCATATAGAGATCTGCTTGTTTGCAATATGACTTAGATTTCATGTTCTCTTGTCACTGTGCCTCTATCTCAGCCTTCTTGATAAAGAAACAGGCAACAACTGGAGCACTGAAATACCCTTCTTTGGAGATTTTAGGAGGACACTAACTTTGTACCTGATTAGATTTTAAAACTAGGACTCAGCCTCTCCAGAAACCTGTGTTCTGCCTCTGCTTCCTCCTCCATGCCAAGTGCCCCTGAAAAGCCCTTCTCTGAGCACTTTCTCTCTTCTTTAGTGTGTGAGGTGACTTAAGAATCTCTGAAGTGACCTTTTAAATCTAAAGCTATGATTCTCAGAATTAAAATTATTCTGTCAGGATGAGAGAGTCCCACTGTATTTCATACCTGTCCCCATGGTTAGGGTGAGGTGCTAGGTGGTGAGCATTGACCGTAGGCAATAATGTGAAAGAAACTGGGTATTAGGGATGGCTTGGTCCAAGTGTTCTGGACTGCGGGGCATTTTGCTTGGTTTTCTTTACGTCTCATTCTGGTGCCTCCTTGTCCTCCTAATGCCCCCCTTTTCTCCCAACCCTCTTGTTCCCTCTATTCTTTGCCACTTAGTCTGGCAGCCAGACACTTTTCCTAAACTTAAGTTTTTTTCACACATTTTGAAATTTTGGATTCTCAGTAGCCATGAAAGATGGGTTCCATGCTCTCCCTTTGGGATATACAAATACACTAGCCATCAAGTCCTACAGTGGCTTTGTGCTTGCACATACAAAGTGTATGCATATCCTCCTATGGCAGTTCAATCATATGTAGATAAAATACAAATGCCAGGTAACTTATTTTCAGGGAATGATGATGAGAATTGAACACTCTTCATGTTTGCTACCAATACATTTTTTTCTTCCTCAAAATATTTCTGGTCCACTTTGTTGACTCTGAGGATGGGAAAGCTCTGCATGAAGAGGGCCAACTACCTGCACATTTGTCCTTACACTGGAGTGTCCCTTAAGGAGTGTCCCTGCAGGTGTACTGAACAATCCAGTCTGAGGTAGAGACGCCTGGCCTCTGGATAGGCCGACTTGCCCTCTCATCTCACTCAGGTTGTAAAATGCTTTCAGTCTCTTTGTTTTCCTGTCTACAAAAGCAGGAGCAGCAAGGGTCAAGGTGGGGCAATTGGCACCAAAAAGCCACGACAGTAAGGTAGCATTGTGTCTTTTGGTCTCAGTCCCTAGGGAGACACTCTCAGGCATTGCTGTAAGGATGCTAGATGAGAGTTTTCTATCCAGAAGTTCTCTTCCATAAGCTGAGTGTCTACTCTTTAGAAATGGGTATGGGGTAGAGCCATATGTCTGCTCTCCCCATAACCCTTCATAAAAATGAAGTCTATATGACCTACCCAGCACCAGTTCACCAAACCCATTCCTGACCGCCCCATGACTACCACATTCAAACATTTTGAACCCTTGCGCTGAAGACAGATGGCAGAAAGGTGCTAAACTGTCTTCTGGATTCTCACAGAAACCCAATTCCTGGGAAATGGAGTGTGTGTGTGTGTGTGTGTGTGTGTGTGTGTGTGTGTGTGTGTGTG